TAGAAAAGGTACCTGATGGAGAAGCTTCCTACAAAACTTCATTTTAAAAATCAAATTAAATAAAACCATGTCGGCTTTGATTACCAAGCGAATCTTATATAGCAGAGCCGTAATTTTTCAGTGATATATATAAGAATGTCGGAGCTTTTGATTTTTTGGGGGTTTCATGAGCTCAAAGAAACTCATAAACTTATGCGATGGCCCAATATGCACCTTCAGAGTTCGCCTACTAAGATACTATTGGTATTAAAACAAAGTTAGTCCAAACAAGGCTGTATAATTGCCTGATAGGTTATTTGATACGCTGAGCTCGAGTATGATAGGCGTTTGATACAATGCACAAACACCTCTATTCAACAAATGCTATCAATTGCCAAAATGCTTTGGAAAATATCACCGAGTCGTGCTCGGCGTATCTTACATTGTCCGAACTCAGAAACTACGGAACAAATTACGTTCCCAATTTTCAAATTGCATTAGACTGCTTTCGATTGCATCCAGATTTTAAAACAGTCTAAGTAGTATTCCGGGATAGCGTTATTGTATCCGGAGCTTAGACCTTTGGAGCTAACTTTTTTGTATGTGTTACTGACCTTGCGCACTGTCGAAAGTTTAAATTTTAAAGCTGGCTTCTGCCTTAGCGCACGTTATGTGTATGATAAATAGATATGAAATAAATTTATGGTTGCATTAGAACATCAGATGAAAAGCATCTATATGGTACCACGAGGTAGAGCCATGTAAGTTTTACTGCGTATGCGCAGGCGTTTCTGTTACCCGTGCAGTAGGAAGGGCATATGTCTACGTAACTCGGCCTTAATGTTGCATTAAAACAAGCCCTCTATTAAGTTTTAGCAAAATTTTGAATTTTCAAATCTCTTTCATCAAAGGTTAATTAATACTATAAATAGAAGAAAAGAAAAAAATTTACACAATTTGGTGCTTTCTAATAAAAGATGTTTACACTTTCTCCAAAATAGGAGAAAAACACTTTAATTGACTCCTAAAATTGGCATTAGCGCCTTTAATCCCACATTTGCTTTCATTTCGAAAGGACATTCAAAAGCTTACCGAGATCGTCGATGTCCAACTTAGCCATATTTCGTCCAATTCCCGTCGGAACTATGGGAACAGGTTCACGGCCTACTGTGAATGCATTCACGTCCTCAGCAGATTCCCATGAAGCTGCTATCTCAGCCCTACTGACATCTTCTAAATTATTTACGTCGTCTTCCGCAGATGCACTGGTGGTGGTCGGTGCAGATGTGGCTGTGTTGGAACTGGTGACAACATTTACGGTGGTGGGTGCAGCAGTGGACGTGATTGGATTTACGGCTGCTGCCGGGGTTGTGGGGGAGTCGGTGACGCTGACTTTGGGTAAAATTTTAATTTTCTTAAGGCCATATATATCCTTGTTGTTGGATTCGGGAATCTGTGTTTTCGCTGCAAACTGACGTTCATTTTGTGCGAGTGATGACGACTGGGCTGCGTCGACTTTCTTAGTGATTGCATGCTTACCCTCTGTCTGTTCATCCTTGTTGAAATCGACCTCTGAAAATGCTACAGCGGAGGTGTTCGACTTCTTCGCAGCAGTTATCTCTGTTGCAGTTGTTGTCTCCAAAATTTCATTGAATGCTTCCGTTGTCCTTCGACTCGTCGGCTCCTCGCTAGTCACATCTTCCACTTCAGATGCAACAGCGTTTGCTAACGGTGTGGTTTCATCAGTCAGCGAAATGCTGGCTGAGGTGGCCGTGACTGCTGCTGATGTGGTGCTAGGTCCAACGCTGGTACTCACACTATCAGTAGTGTACGTGCTTGCTGAAAGAATAGTGGAAAGGTCAACAGA